TAAATGAATGTGATCTTCAACAGTGAGGTGGATAAACAAACAAACAAATAAAACAACAACCCAGATACCATACTTCTGGAGTAATAGAGAATATTATATAAATATGCTTAGCCAGTTAGCCTGAATGAGTTGACAGCTCTACGTGGAAAAGGTATCTGTTCCTGACCTTTCATGATTGTTGATCATCCTCTTACAAACCAGATGGCCCAGGCCATTATTGAATTACATTCACATTTATTCTGAACATAGCTGTATTTTTGCCACCATTTGCTTGCTTGTGACAAACTCATTGGTCAAATGTGGCTTACACTGGCATTTTCCAGTGACCGAAAAATACTATTAGTTGTGGTTCTAGGGAATGGAAACTTCTAGACATTTCAGCATGAATCTGTCAAGTCTTTGAACATTGTAGAAAAAAGAGTGTGAAAGAACCTGGTGGTTTTGTTTTCAGTGTTTGTCTTGTGTGGGGACCAATGACAGAGCTTCTAGAATGATGGTATCATAGAAATACAACTGGATGCTATTCACTGGCAATAGTACTCATAATAAGGCTAATTACTCATACCACTTTGTTTATGTAAAATGTCCCTGCTTCTTTCTCCCTAGTCCTTCTATAATCTAGTGATATCCATCTTGCACAAATGAAAGCACAGAGAAAGTGTGCATGCTTTCCCAGGTTGTGGGTGGAAAGCAAGAACCTGATTCATTGGGTGTTTATAATGTGATGACTGTTTTCAATGTGTATAATGTTTTGGGCCTGAGCTGTGGAAGGGAGAAGATAGGGAGAAATGTGCATAAGTGAAATGAACGGGACAGAAGAGAGGCCTTTAGATTTCCTCAGTCTGGCTCCAGTGATAAAGTTCAGATGAGAAACTAAATAAAACTAAATATACACATACAGTCCAGGTATGAATGGAGAGGGTATTTTTATGGGAAGGAAGGAATCACAAATGATTTCACAAGTGGAGGGTTGTGTGCACAGCATAAAAACTTATGGGGAAGGCCATTTTCATTGTCCTATATTATTTTGAATAAATACACAAGCTCCTCAAGTTATATGAATCTCTCACATTGGCAGTGCCTTCTCTCAGTCCCCTAATTTTTCCCTTCCTTCTAGTTTGATTACTTCAAAGTAAGAGTGGATAGAAGGTGGATGTACTGTGTGTGAGTGTGTGTGCATGCTCATCTCCATGGAGTATATGTAGAGGCCAGAGGTTAACTTGCCTGTGTTGGCTCTTTCCTCTACCTCATAGGTTCTGAAGATTGCTAATCAGGCCTGGTAGCAAGCACCTTTATTTTCTGAAAGCCATAGCAATAGCTCAATATATTTTTAAAGTAAAGTAGACTCACTGAAATAAACAGAATAAGCAAATGGAAGCCAGCTTCGATTTGTAAGGGTGCCATGGCAGCCAGTGCCTTCTTTGAGCTACCTTTCAAGGGAAAAAATCCCAGTCTACTAAACTTACAATCACAAAATCTTTAATAGGTAATTTAGTGTGTGAGAGAGGGGAGTAAGAGAGAGGAGGAGAGAGAGGAAGGGAAAGAATGAGGGAGGGATTAAGGAAGAGATAGAGATTCTTGGCCTCTTTAATTTACTTTGAAGGGTAAACATCATTCCTTTTCATCATTTTGGTGCAAAATGGGAATCTGATCCCATCCCATCTTATATATGGAGATGACTTCAGTCTTACAATTTTACTAAACACTAACCCTGGTTGTTTAGCTCATACAAAAAGACATGACATGTTCCAGTGTCAAACAGACCCTAGGGACTTTTGAAATGAAACTGCCTAACTTAATTAGAAGAGAAACTCCATATATGGGAGGGATGGGTGATTATACTTCTATAAACAATATTTATACCTTCTATAACTTACTGTATCAGTGACAATGACAAGGTGGCAAAATATATCACACTATAAAATCACTATATTTCTTTGTGAAAGCTGCATGCTTTAATCAAAGAAAGATGTTGGCTGTTTGTTGGTTAAAGCACTTGCCACTCCATGCTGGAAAAATGCATGTGCTTGCGGAGTCAATAAATAGGTAAATCCAAGCACCACAAAATGTCAACAAATAAACTTGACTCACTTCAAAAATCGCTGGACAAGCTTCACTTTCTCTTTTATCAAGAACAGAATCTGGCTGGAACTTTATATATATATTCCAATTATGTTACCACATTTTTCATGGTACGTGGGACACAAGCTTAAAATTGATATTAGTCATACACACTGATCCCTTTATTACCATATTCATGTGATAAAATTTTGTGCACCATAAATGTGCAGGCAGATGGTAGCGATTGAATTCCCCAAATTTGAACAAGTTAAATTTAAACACAATTTGATGGTTCACACATTTGTGTAAGGGGCTTGGATGAATCCAAATTGAATTTGACATTTACAAATATTTGCACTGTCTTATTGGATGGTTGCCTGATTCTGATGTGGTTTCTTTCTCTAGCTCTCTTCAAGGGATGTTACTGCATGAAACCATGGATAGGAGCAAGCTAACAGATGTAGCCCTTGAGGCTAGCTCTTACATTAAGTTAAGAGCTCCTGGAGCCTCGCATACTGCATGTGTTAGCAGAATTTTTACAAAGAAAGGTTTTGCAAAATGGAAGAGCCTGCTTTCTTCTCATTGGATTTTCATCTGTGATCAAAGCTAGTAGAGGAAGACACCAGGAGACTCTACAGTCAGAGCTAAGTTCACCCTTTGGAGAATGTGACATTACAATAATGTTTGCAGCCATGTAAGTGAAGATGGCTTATTTAGTGGTAGGAATGTTAGGGAATTTTATATAAAACTCCAGATTTCTGTGTTTCCTTAAAAACTGAAGATATGACAATATGGTTATGATGAATTTGCCTAGAAGTGAGTTTTTGTAGGCTCCCATTTCATAGTCCAAGTTAGCAAAGTGATGTCCCAACTCAACATGCCCGAATCCTGATTTGTTTATTTACTTTTGTTTCAAACTTGGCTTTCTTGTTCTAGTCCTCACTGATGCTGCACTGTCTTTTGTTGTGTTAAAAGGCACTGCCAAATTCCCTGCCAGCATTTCTATTTTGCCAAACATTTCTATTTTAGTTTTTTTTCCCCTTAAATATATAATTCTTAGGGTTCATGAGTGTCAACTTGAGTTGACAGATGAAAAGTATTTTTTTTTTCTGATAAAAGATGAGCATGGTAGCCCATTCGTTTTAGTCTCATCACTTTTTTTTGGCACTTGAATCTGGACTTCTGCAATGAATTTTTTCACTTTCTTTTGGGGCAGGAGTCTAATCTGTATTCCAGGTTGACTTTGAACTCACAATCCTCCCATTTCCATTTTTCAAGTGCTGGGATCTCAAGTAATGGCTATCAATCACTAGCCACTACACCTAGGTACTGGTGGGAATTATATTTTCCCTTTGTAGTAAATATCTAACAGAATTATTTGGAAGTCTTGATTTCATAGTCAAGATTCTATTTCTATCTCTAGATGATGAGTTATAGGCCTTTAGGATCCAGAATCAAATTTTCTGGTTAGAAGCTCACACATTCAATCAAACTTCAGGCTGTCTGGGTAGAGTTACCAGGTTGTGGGGGTTGGTGATTCAAATTTTACTTGAGGTTTGATACTAATAGGTCCAAACTCAGGGGCCACAGTGCTGTTGACTTAGAAAGAAGCACTAACAACACAGATGCCAGAGAATAAGTTTGGGAGAAAACAAAATGCAACATCTGCACTTCTAAGATTACATGGTAACAGGAATATAAAGTTGCATTGAAACTTTCCTCAGGAAAACCAGACCGTAAGCAGATGTTTACTCTTAGTCAGTAACTCCAAAAGGACAGGGGAAATGATGTTTTGGTGGGTGGGTGGGTGAGCTCCATGTATTACAGGAAGCCTTGTAATTGTCAGTGGATATTTCACTATGATCATGTTAATGAATTTATAGGTTTCAAAAGATTATTGTTGAAAATAGTAGTGTCCATAGTTTCAAAGACCTTTTAGCAAACTACAGATATGAGCAGGGTGTTCTTGTGGTTTGGTTAAAGCATAGTCTGTAAAACCAAATGGCAGACACAGAGGACAAGTGGGTAAGAAAGAAGTTATTTACCACTTTAATAGGGCTGTCCAACATTTGGTCACATAGATCATTGGGAAACCTAATTGCTTTCATAGCCTTCCTATCTCACCAGAGGAGATGTGAATACTCTAGGAAAAAGCAAATCAAACATACAAAGAGGTGTCATGATAAGACTCATCACTACAGCACTACGTAGTTAACAATGCCAGACTTTGGATTTAATCAGAGGACATGTCTGCAGTCTAGGACAGCTATACAAAGCCCTAAGACATTGTATTTACAGGACTTATTAATATAGGGATCTACAGCCTACCACCCTGCCAGAGTCTTAAAGTGTGGAGGGGCAGCTCCCTCAAGAATCCTCATTTGCTTATCTGTGAAAAAGCTAGGAGTTCTAAAAATATTTTCCTGGAAGAGGTTAGAATGGTTATTATATATCAATTGAATACAAAGTATGGTTATGTAAGCCAAGCTTGCATGCTAATATTGCACAGGGTAGAAAGCAATAAAACAAGACGATGAACTTCCTTGGGTCACCAGGTAGAAACAGAGGGAAGCTCTTGACTCAGTATTGTTAGGATGCTTCAGATTCCAGGAGTTCTCCTGCAGCTGGCTTTCCAGGGAGAGTGCCATGTTGAATTCTCACAAGGGCATGTATCTTCCTCACCGAGAGAAAAAGAGATGGCAAACTAAACAAAACCGACCGAACATCCAAAACTGAAAGGGATACACCAGCCACCTCACACTGTGGTACTGTTCATTTCTTGAAGAGAATATATAATATTTCAAAATATTATATATACATATATTTCAAATGGTACAAAGTAACAGTAGTTCCAGGTTAGAAGACAGTTGATCGTTCTTCATGATCCTCCAAATTTCACTGAGATATTTTTAAAAGCCATTTTTCCATGATGTTGTCTTCTTATGTGACACTTTGTTTCACAGAGTAAATGTACTCTGGTTATCTGGTAACTAGCCAAAGTGCAAAGAAGAGGTCCATTTGGCTTGTAAGTATGTAAGATATTTCAAATCCTTACAATGTATTTTCCACAGGTTGTTTTTCCTATTTATATAATGAATGCTTCTGTTAGGTTCTTGGGTGAATCTGAAACCAAAGAAAGAAAGATATTTCAGTAAGAAAAGTAAGAAATGAAGGCATAAAGAAATGTGTTTATGTAGAACACAAGGGTGCCTTTAATTTTATTGTGTTGCTTTATTCAGGTGGTTCTCAATTGATGCTCAAAGCTTGTGGACAGATCCCCCACACTCCATGAACCCAAAACTGAGGAGAAAGATTCTTAGAGAAATGTCTAACTAGAACTGGCTTCATGGGCATAGCTGTTATCCAATTCCATGGGTTCTGCACCAATAAGGACCCCACAGTTGGTTTATTTCTTCACTGCTGCAGTCTTAAATTTCCTAATAAAATTTTAATGAGGACCTTGCATTTTCTTGTTGCACAGGGTCATGCAAATTATGTAATCAATCTCTGTCCCCATAGTGAGAATTTGAACTAATCATCTCATGGCCTTGTGTAGTTGTTGTACCGCTATAAGCCACTGAGGAGTAGCCATTGGTAAAGTCATTGCCTAGATACATTGTGGAGGAACAGAAAAAGGCCTTTATAAGATGAGAAACTATTACATACAATGATGAGTGCTAACTGGAATCAAGAATATGCCATTTAATCCATCTCAGCATGGGCCCAAAGACTCAAATATTACGAACATATTCATGCTTAACAAATCACTGACTGAAAATATAAACAAGGACTCTAGCAAGAAGCCAGATTGAGGAAATAAGCTATTGTTCTTTATCATCTCAATTTCTTGTGATGCTGGGTCCAAACCCAGGGTCTTGTAAATACCAGGGTATCACAGAGGTACATTGTAAGCCCTGTTAATTCTTTATAGATTTGGAAAGTGATTCCTCTGAGTTAGGAGTACAAGTCAATTAAAATCTTTCAGAGTTACATAGAACAATAATAAAAGTCTGCACTCAAATATTGCTTGGTCCAGGTGTGGAATTGTATGGGAATTTTTCATAAAGGTACTTTGAATTCTTTACTTACGAATAAAGAGATATTTTAAACGAGTGTATCCTATATTCCAATGGTGGACATAACCTTTCCTTGACAGTGTGTTCTTTTCCATCATAAATGGAATAAAGTAACATTCACCTAACTGAATGGAAATTGCCTTTCTGTCATCTCTGTCTCTTCTCCACACACCAACATGGAAGACTGGGGACTCTGCCTTGATGCCATCAAATCCTGGAGACATTATCACATTCAAACTGGACAACACAGGCTTGCCTGTACTTCCTGACTAAAATAGTGATTGACTTTATTACCTCTGGAGCAACTGTCACTCTGCCAAATGGTTCATTTCCCTTCTTGCAAGTCTCTGACTCTGGCCAGCTTCATTTTAACACTTCTCCCTTACCTTTCAACTGCTTTTTCATTTAGATGGAAATTTATTTGATGGTTGGTAACTTCCTCTCCCTCCTTTTCTGTATTTCAACCATTGGATGGAAATATGAAGTGTAATGCCATAGTCTCTCAAACCATTTTCGATCTGTCAGAATTTTAGTGAAGAAGCCAGAAGGTGCCAAAACTGGTTTCCCATTTATTTTTTAAATATAAAAAAAAGTTGGGATAATTAGAATGGGCATATATTTCCAAATTCAGTCACCATCAGAGGGAGATACCAACAGAGCATGGACAGAGGACCAAGGGTTTGTGTTGGTCAGTCAGTCAGTCACAGAAACAGTGACTTGACAATATGGCTATTATGCTTTGCTGTATAATTTAAAGTTCAATAACTCCTCTCTTAAGCAAAAAAAAAAAAAAAAAAAAAAAAAAAAAAAAAAGCAAAACACAAAACAAACAAAAAACAAAAAACTCTTAACTTTACAAAACATACCAATTATTGTTTTCCCCCACTGGTTTGAAGCTAATCCACAGTTGATTGATTCTTCCCAAAGAAATCAATAATCAATCAGACTATATGTTTGTAATCTTTATCCATTTGTTTTTCTTTCCAATAATTTTCTCTGAATTTCATCCTTTCCCTTTAATATCTTCAAAATGTCTGACATTCTATTTCCAGATGTACTTAGTATATTATTGCCAAGTAACTTGTTTCCTCTGTGGGGAATTCTGTTCTCCTAAATCAAGCCATTGTGCTGCCTTTGCAAGGTTCCTATGTTCTGGAACATGGGTACAGCCACACCAACACTCCTAGTCATTATTTGACATATTATTTTAAATAAAAGAAGTGCTAAGAAACATCTGCAAACACAGAAAAAATATTTGTGGTGTTATACAACAATAAAACAATTTAATCAAGTAGCTCAACCAGCAATCAAGATGGGGCAGGATTAATGTTCGGTCATGAAACTTTGCTTCTCCCTAGGGAAGTGAGGTACCAAGGTTATTGTACTTCACACTGAATCTTTGACAACTTCTCCAACATGAATACTTCTTTTCTATCTTGTGACTTCCAGGGATCTTCAGTCTTCTTAAAATTCATCACTCCAAATCCCTTAATTGAAAATGGTTTGACTTGTTCTACCTGTTTCTTTCTACCTCCTTAGTTTACACTGATAAGATTCATGATTACCAAGAGTCTTTTTCACTGTGGCTTGCTGTTACTCAGGCTTGTCCATTCTGGTTGTAGTTTAGATGATACAGGGGATTTCTACACTCCAGCCCTCGTTTAAAATGAATATTGGGAGTCTTTAAAGCACATCACACATTGGAATACCTTATTAGAATTTCAGAGGCTTTCTGATGAGCCCCCCCCCAAAAAAAACCAAAAGATTTTTAGTTTTTTTCCACACCAGGGAAAAGAATCAAGTCTCTGGGAACTTTCTGGCAAAGACCTTTATGCTGGAATTTATTTTATTTATTTATGTGTGGTTATGTGTACATGCATGTTTTCTGGGGTGTGTGTATACACACACATGTACATGGAGGCCAGAACTTCATGTCTTCTTCTAGTACCCTGCACTGTGTTTTTTGAGACAGGGTCATTCATTAAACCCAGAGCTCAGATGCTGGGTCCAAACCCACAAGCAAAAATAATTGGCCAGCAGGATACAGGCAAGTGTCCTGTCACAGCTTTTAATGTGGGGCATGGGAATCTGATTTAGCTCCTTAAACTTGTACAACAATCCTCCCTGGCCCTAGAGTTCATATTTAAACTAATAATTTGAAAGAAGTGCTCACTTCCTATTTTAACAGTTGATAGTTTAAAGTATCTTTTAACTTTCTGAAAACATGGGAAATATTTTTTTTAATCTGGAGAAATTTTTATTTTCAATTCACATTGCAATGCTTTATAAAAAAAAAGAATAAAGTGTTGACTGAGTGAGTACTTGTCAATACCTACAGAAAGAACATTGCCCTTATTCCATAAGATATTAACTGAGAACAGAGGCTAAAATCACATGAATTGTCTCCAAAACCAGGAAAACAGTAGCAGACCTATTAGGACTTAAATGAAGGAAATTTTGCATAAGAAATGCATAGTGTTCTTTTTAAACCAGTCTTCCATATAAGGAGAAAATAATGGTTTCTTTTATTTTTATTTCTTCTTAGATAACAATAAAAATTGTACTCATAATGATTGAAGTCCCTATGTGAATTGAACCATTTTAAAATTTAAAATTGCTGGAGTCAGTATTTGAAATGGTTAGGCATATGCATATTCTTAGGGGAAAACACACAGGAAAATATTGTCTAAGAGCTGGTGTTAGTCTACCACCTGCTAGAATGTGGACTCCTGGATGAATGTGTGGGATTAACAGTTGTGTTTCCTGTTTAAAAGTGTTTTTTACATTAGGGACCTCTTGGGAATCTAGCAGAGAAAAGGTGAGGGTAATGTTTGAATCCTCTTAGTGTTTATAAAGGATAGTTTTACCTAGTGTCCTCTTTCCCACTCTGAAAGTAGACTTGAGAATTCTCAGCTGTGCACATGGCAGAACACAATACCCTCAGCTTTCAAAGCAGTATCAGCCATGGTTTATTTCTCTTGTATCTTCAGTTGTTTGGGTTGACTTCAGTGCACTCTGGATGGGGCAAACCGCCACTAAATCCTCAGTTACAATGATCAGGTTCTACATAAGCCTCCTGCTAGGTGGAAAGTTTCTAGGAGTGCATTGCAACATGCCTGATGGTGAAAATAGACTTGAAAATAAAATAGAGGATACATTTGAATAAAAGTTGGACAGCTCTCAAAAAAGTAGCATGAACTATTTCTGGATGCTTTCATTTTTTAGTTTGTTTCATTTTTATTCTGAGTATAAAGTCTATCTTCCAAAGATTCTCTGAGTTGGTATTCTTGGAATTTTCTATACTTAAATATTGAAATAATTTGAGTTGGATTAATTTTCATTAATGAGTTTCAGATTCTAAGCCAGCGTGAGAGCAACAGTTGACGATGGACTGAGACTTGGCATAAGACAGCAAAGCGATGTGTTCAAACCAAAAGTGTTTGGACTCTAACTCTAATTCAGAGTAGCTTCAAGTGTTCTCATTTGTCCCGGTGTCTTTCAGAGAAAACACAACCATAGCCAAATCTGGCCTCTTCCCTCAGCTAATTAAACAATTTCTTTCGAGGGTAAATAACTCAGGGCAGCCTTACTTCTTGATGCTTCCTTATGTAAGTGTTTAATTGCAATGAGGCAAAAATCTATGTTGAATTATTCAGAGACATGAGGATGCATATTAATAAGCTAAGGTGGTTCAGAAATCCCCCTTGACCAGAGATCAAGGAATTATGGCCATTTATTGGCCACCATAGTCCACATGAATAACTATATTTGATGCACCTTTATTTTATATGTGATAATCTGAGTGTTTTCATACAGTATTATGTAACTTTATTTCTAATTTCTGTATCATAGCTGTGAAGATCACTTTCACTAATTGACAATATGACTTTGAGAAGAAAGATCATATCAAGGTTCATGATGTAGTGGCTAGAATTTAAAGAACTGAATCACCTTTTGTTAGAGTAAATGTTTATCATGTGGACTTCAAAACGGTAGAGATCACTTTTAAAATGTCAAGAAATAAACACACACACACACACACACACACACACACACACACACACACACACACTCCAGGGCTGATATGCTGATACCGCACACACACACACACACACACACACACACACACACACACACCCACACACACACTCCAGGGCTGATATGCTGATACCGCATAGGATGATATTAGCTGTTCATGCCTTTGTACTAGTGGATAAATGATCCCTCTTGAGTGTTCAGAGCTCCACCCATCTTCTCTCCTTTAGGCATCACACATATTCTAGTCCCTACATTGTTAATGGTTGGCCCAGCACATCACTCCACCCTGGTATAGGTATAGCACAATTGCACCAATTCTAATGGGTGAGGCAACCACACCTACAGACTTTACACATCCTAACAAGCTCCTGTTTTAACCAGAGAAATGAAGGAATAATGACTGACTTTACAAATAATTTTGTGCTTGTCTAAGATGTCATTAAAATCCTTTTATACATGATTGTACTTAAACATAGTCTTTTTCAGCATAATACTTGGATGAATCAAGCAAGGCATGCATTTAACATCCTGAGCACCCAGGTTGCTCTACTGTTGCCCCCTCTCTTGCTCTATTTGCGATGCTTTAACATGAATGAAGAACTACACCATGCAAAAAGGTCAGGTTCTAACTCTAGCTTCTAATTCATGGGTGGACACTGACCCGCCTAGTCCAGAATATGTCCTGTTAAAGGAAATGTCTCCTCCTGTCCCTTTCAAAGCCCTCTGACTGGTGCTAATACAAGAGCAAAGCAAACAGCACAGCTTGAAACATGAAGGCAATGTTTGAAAAGGACTTACTCTTGTGGTCTTAATTTTGTTGCCTGTGGCACACATCCATCCAGAATTGTCAGGGAGTGTCTTACATTCTTCTCCTTCTAGGCAGGGTTCCATCTCACACCACCATTTCCCAATCACTATAGAGGCTGTGGGAAAACAGGAAACAACTGTATTTGTGCTTGGCCAAATAGCCCTGCGCTGATGCTATATCCCTCTGCCGATTTGCATATTCTCTGCAGCCCAGTGGGTCTACTTTTGTCCTCTACTACTGAAGAGGAAAAACATAGCAAGTAAATAATATAATACAACATAATGCAAATATAATGATGTTACCACCCTGCCCAAATTCACCTCGTATAATTAAAGAAACAAGGAATGGGAACACTTTTGTGTCAGTCTGTCTCAGACTGGGTCTTGCTATGTAGCTCTTCCTGGCCCGAAGCTTGCTATGTGGGAGACTTGCTCTCAGATTTTGAGGGATTTTGATTCACTACTTTTTGTAGATCAGGTACCTTGTGCTATTTCTTGCCAGTTAAGGGGACAAAGAGCTGAATATTCTTCAGAATGCCTAACACATTCTTTTCAAAAAGGCCAGTTTATCCACCCAGCATTAGGTTTATCCCTTAGCCTAGGGCCTTGGAGAATTTCAAATCCCTAGCAGAAGAAAAAAAATGAACTGCAAGCGCAGAAGCAAAGTTGTAAAAGTACAAATCAAGAGGAATGATAAAGACAAGTTCATTCCTTTGCAGTCAGAGCTACAGTTGGTTTGGGCTGTGGTTTCCCTTTCATGTGTTTGATGAGTTATGGGAGAACTACATTAGCCAAATCACAGATGAAACTGTCTTTCTTTGGGGGGGATGGATTACATCAGCAATTAATACATATGAATACACACATAACTTATATTTTTGATAATGAGACTTTATAAAACAGTAGAAAACAAGCATCTGCTATCTCTGTGGCTTCTCACTATGTTAGTTCCTCACAATTCTACTTGGGTTTGTTCCACTCAAAGAGCTCAAAGCGGGCCTGGAAAGAGTGCACAATGGTTAAGAGCACTCCCTGCTCTTGCTGAAAGCCTGGAGTTCAGTTCCCAGCACCCACATGGCAGCTCACAACTGAAGTCAATAGCTCCAACTCTAGGAGGTGTAATGTTCTCTTCTAGCTTCAAAGGCACCAGTCATATACACAGTACATATGCATACATGCAGACCAACACTAACATGAATAAAATAAAGATAAGTAAATGCCCCAAACAACAGCAACAAGAAACAGACAGGCTCAAAATCATAGCCATAATTTTGTTTGATCATTTGTTTATTCTAATTTTATACTGGGCTTTCAGGTACCATCCTTCTCACCCCCCCATCTTCAGAGGCATGTCTACCATGATTTTAAATAATAGTGATAAAGAAAATAAATACTAAGATGCAGAGAAGTAGGAACATAGTAAAATTCTCCACGCTTCCTGTGTTAACTACAGTGATTAGATTTCTATATTAACATTAAGTGGTATACACACCCAAACAGCAACTTGCATTTAGCCCTTCCTTCTTTCACACTCTTTTAAATTTAGAGATTTTTTAATATAATGTGTACAGATATTTTGCCCATAATGTGTACAGATATTTTGCCCATGTGCTTGTCTTTAAACCACATGCGTGCAGTATATAAAGAGGCCATAAGAGGGCATCAGATCTTGTGAAACTAGAGTTACAGATGGTTGTGAGCTGCCTTATGGGCACAGGTACCCAACCCCAGTCCTCTGGAAGAGTAACCCTGGCTCCTAACTGCTGAGTCATCTCTCCTACCACATTTCATATTTCCTGTACCTCACTCTTTCCCTCCCTTAGATTTCAATGTTGCTTTAGTGGTGCTTTGAGTTAAACCACTGGACACGAATTCAAGAAAATTTGTCACATTTAATGATTTTATTTCATGTGGAACAGACCAATGTAAATATGATGTCTACATCGGGCATGTTAAGAAGGTATCAGAGGTCAAAGTTCATTAAGCCTTCCATGCATACACAGGACAGCATGAGATAATGAGACAAGCAACAATATTCCACACAGTTCAGCATGATGATATGGATGTCTAGTCATTTTTCTTGTTAGTATCAGTGCTCTACAACAGGCACAGAGAAGGGTGAGGTTTTCATGTCATGTGCTGATGAGTAGGTAAGAGTATTAAATAAGAGAATACAAAGTTCCTTCAACAAAGAGAAGCAATGCCATGTTGAGAGGGAATTGGACTAATGGTAAAACTTCCATTGTAAAATAGGAGCTAAAAATAAGGGCTTGCCACTGTGTATCAAAAACCTGTAATATGTGATTCCCTTCAGCTGGTGTTTAACAGTAACAATTTATTCACATTTATCTACAAAGCTAATGTTTCTCCTTTAAAGCCTACCTCATATTTCCATACTACGGTCCTGACCTGAAACCACTATGGACAGACACCCTCTGACCTTCACTCTTAGGGGAAGGATGTTCTCTTGACAACCCTTTCACTGAGCATGTTGTCATACTTTCTGTTTTCCTCATGGAGGCGTGGTGATAATGAACACTGGGTAGTGAGGTCAGCCTGTAGTATTTGTGCTGGCTTCTGAAACCCTGTGCTCTCTCCCTTCCTGCAGGCAGCTCTCTGCCCTCCTTGTGCTGACCTATTTTGCTGCGAGCTACTACCAAAGCAGTTTCCCTTTCTCTTGGACATTAATGTCTCCTAAGTAAATGTATAGACAGACAAACAGAAAATAATCTCCAAACTCGTGAAGCGTCTTTAATTCAAAACTTTAAAGAGCCATTGGCCTTTATGAGGAAGGCTCTGTATGGATGGAAATGTCCCCACATATGCTTATAATTGTGGCACATTCACACTGTGGCTACCTTTGCAGAATGAAGATGCTGATCTGCCTTTCCTCTGTGAGTCTGGTTCATCATCTAGCACAGCCTTGTTTGATGGAACATCACATCAAATGGGCAACTTCATACATACATCTTTGCATCCTTGGTCAAGCTGTAGTTCCTAATTCTGATATTTTCCATAAATTCGTATTTCCTGCAATATCTTTCATGATTCACAAAATGAATTTCAAACTACCCCTTCCTTTACCCAAACTGGAAACTATTTTACACTTTCAAACTATGGTAACATTTAGAATCCATTAAACTTTATAAAATGAGCTTGTATCATTGCAATTTAGTTGTTTCTATGATAGTTTTAAAAGTGGAGATAAAATTACAATGAGAAAAATATAAATATAAAGTGATTTTCCTGCTCAGTACATATTATTGAAATAATATAGATATTGATGTATGCATTTAGTAACATTCTCCAAACTTTGGTAAGTTTTCTGAAATGTATTCAAATTTAGTTTCTTAATTGTCCCTTAATTTTAAAACCACATTTGTAATTAACACAAGTTTTTACTTCCATGCTCATTTTCAACATATTGCTTTTTATATAGACATTATTTCTTTTGTCCCTGAACATAAGATATGGAGCCTATATAGGAATTTTTGTGTTGTGCCTCAGTGAGAGAGATCTGGCTCCACTCCTCATCTATCATAGTATGGCATGGATGAAGGAGAGAAGCCCCCTACCCCTCATTTCCAAAAATTATTTTTAGTATATATAAAACCCCCTTTTCCCAAGTTGTGAATTCTTCAATTTGAAATGCTTTTTATTTTCTTAACTTCTAGTTATTTACTATGCAAATATTTACTTATTTATTTTTATGTGCATGAATGTTTTTCCTGCCTATAAATATATGGATCATATAGGTGCTTGGTGTCCACAGAGTCTAGAAGAGAGTGTTGACCTTCAGCCTCATGGCAGTATGCAAGATGAACTCAAACAAATGAGTAGCCCCCCTATATACAAATGATAAATGGGCCAAGAAAAAAATCAGAAGAACATCACCCTTCACAACAGCCAAAACAATACATAATAACTTGGAGGTAACTCTAACCAAACAAGTGAAAATCCTGTATGACAAGATCTTTAAGTCACTAAAGAAAGAAAATGAAGAAAATATCAGAAAACAGAAAGATCTCCCATGCTCTTGGATGGTAGGATCAACATAATAAAAAAAGCAATCTTGCCAAAAGCAATCTACGGTTTGGTGCAAACCCCACTCAAATTCCAGCACAATTCTTTACACAACTTGACAGAACAACACTCAACTTAATTATGGATAAACAAACAAACAAACAAAAAACTGAATGAAAAACAATCCTATACAATAAAGGATCATCTGGGGGCATCACCACCCCGACTTCAAGCTCTACTATAGAGCTATACTAATAAAAATAGCTTGGTATAAGCATAAAAACAGACAAGTAGACTAATAGAATAGAATCAAGGACTCTGACAATAATCCACCATACCTATGAACAACTTATTTTTGACAAAGAAGCCAAAATGGTACAATGGAAAAGGGAAAGCATCTTTAACAAATAGTGCTGGCATAACTGTCAACATGTAGAAGATTGCAAATAGATCCATATCTATCACTATGCTCAAAACTCAAGTACAAGACGATCAAGGACTTCAACATAATCCAGCCACATTGATCCTGATAGAAGAGAAAGTGGGAGGAAGCCTTGAATGCATTGGCACAGGAGACCAATGTAACGTCTTAATGTAACACCAGTAGCACAAACATTGAGAGCAACAATCAATAAGTGGGACCTCCTGAAACCAAAAAGCTTCTCTAATGCAAAGGACACTGTCAATAAGACAAAATGGCAGCTTACAGAATGAATGGGAAAAGATCTTTACCAATCCCACATCTGTCAGAGGGCTGATCTCCAAAATATATAAAGAATTCAAGAAACTAAACATCAAAATACAAAATAATCCAATTGAAAAATGGGGTACAGAACTAAACAAAGAATTCTCACCAGAAGAATATTAAATGGCCAAAAAGACATTCAAGGAATTGTTCAACATCCTTAATCATCAGGAAAATGCAAATCAAGACAACTCTGAGATATCATCTTACACCTGCCAGAATGGCTACCATCAAAAATGCTGAGGGCAGATTAGGTTGGATAAGTTGTGGAGTTGGGAACACTCTTCCATTGCTGGTGGGAGTGCAAACTTGTATAGCCACTTTGCAAATCAGTGTGTCAATTTCTAA